TAAGCTCCTAGATCTTTCTTTTTGACGTGGAAAAGTCTTTCTTAACTGTTTTGTGTTGCTCAAATACAAGTGCTAGGTACAGAAGCTTCAAAGTAAGAAAATCGAGTAGTTGGGCCAAGTTCCGTTGTGTTGGCACTTTAGAGATAGCTGGTAGCATTTTTCAGTAGATTAGAACATGGCCTTCAAAAATTATGAACAGATTTCTCTAAATCTTACTTGATGAAGAGTTATACTTACTTGAAATTGTTGAGGTCACTCGTTTGTGCAGCGCTAGAGCAACAACTTGCTGGGTTATAGGTACTAAAGTACCTATACTATCTCAAGTATACAAAGGCAGCAACTTTTTTTGTCAGCAAGTTTATCATATATTGTTGATTAGTAAAGAAAAAGTGAAGCTTCTTTCTCACATGGTCTTCTTGCTGCCACTCATGAAATGCCACACCTTTCAATCTACATGCATGGGAGGGGCTGGAGCTGCTTGCATGTATGTGCTGCAGTGCTGCTACTTCTGCAGGTATTCAAGAGCAAGTGCAACTGTAGGAAGCTAGTGTTGAGCAGACTCTCTTCATGCTGATAATCAAACAGTTATTGAAGTGCGGGCATGCACCATAGCAGCTATAGGGGCGAGGCCATGCACCGTAGGTGTCTCGTTGTTCTAGCAATCGTTGCAACATGTAAAATGAACTGTTCCAACGAGTTGAAATATCTTGAAGAAGAATGTGTTGAGGAAGACCTAGTTGGTTTTGAATTTGTTGGAAGGTATTAAACGCAGTGTTCGAACGATTGTAAAAGCCAACTATAGATCTTGCTGATGTTAAAAGTTGTTGTACTGATGCTTGTTGAAAAATTCCATCTTTGATAATTAACTGAAGAGTATGTGCAAGGCAAGGTAAGGATGGAAGTTGAGCTACTCTCATGCCAGCCACCATATTGGCTGCATTATCTCTCACTACACACACTAATTTTTCCTCTATATCCCAAGACTGGATATGAGATAAGATATTAGCTGATATATTCTCTGCAGTATGGGAATCATCAAACTTCCAACAACTTAGCATCACAGATTTTCTTTCAAAACTATCAGAAAGTATAAAATGTGCTACTAGACTCATAAATGAATGGTGAGAATTGTCACTTGACCATATGTCGGTAGTGACACT